TAGGACGTGTGTAGCTTTGTATTTGGACGTGTGTAGCTTTGTATTTGGACGTGTGTAGCTTTGTATTTGGACGTGTGTAGCCTTGTATTTGGACGTGTGTAGCTTTGTATTTGGACGCGTGAAGCTTTGAATTTAAACGTGTGTAGCTTTGTATTTGGACGTGTGTAGCTTGTATTTGGACGTGTGTAGCTTTGTATTTAAACGTGTGTAGCTTTGTATTTAAACGTGTGAAGCTTTGTATTTAAACGTGTGTAGCTTTGTATTTAAACGTGTGTAGCTTTGTATTTAAACGTGTGTAGCTTTGTATTTAGACGTGTGTAGCTTTGTATTTTAACGTGTGTAGCTTTGTATTTAAACGTGTGTAGCTTTGTATTTGGACGTGTGTAGCTTTATATTTGGACGTGTGTAGCTTTGTATTTGGACGTGTGTAGCTTTGTATTTGGACGTGTGTAGCTTTGTATTTGGACGTGTGTAGCTTTGTATTTGGACGTGTGTAGCTTTGTATTTGGACGTGTATAGCTTTGTATTTGAACGTGTGTAGCTTTGTATTTGGACGTGTGTAGCTTTGTATTTGGACGTGTGTAGCTTTGTATTTGGACGTGTGTAGCTTTGTATTTAAACGTGTGTAGCTTTGTATTAGGACGTGTGTAGCTTTGTATTTGGACGTGTATAGCTTTGTATTTGGACGTGTGTAGCTTTGTATTTGGACGTGTGTAGCTTTGTATTTGGACATGTGTAGCTTTGTATTTGGACGTGTATAGTTTGGTATTGAATTTGATAATGATTAACATAATAATATAGGCTACATGATAAATAATTACAGTTTGTATAACTGAGTCATAATATAATTTTTTAATTGGTCTATGAACCATATGTGACAAATAAATAACTAATATATTGTTATGCAGTAAAAAACTTTAAGAAACAGTAAAAAAAATCATAGTGAATCATAATATTAGACGAGAAAAAAAAAATACAATGTTAATGTGTTATTCCAGCAATTATTTCTGAAGGTAATATTTTCTGTTTTAGTTTAATTTAAACAATTCTATATAACTAACAGTTTTAAAATATCACTGGCTATTTGTATCGTCAGGATGTAAGTTCTCTATGGCTGCTAACAACATTAGATCTATATTCAAGGTAGATAACAGATAAACTTGTTATCTCTAAAATCAGACCTATATTCAAGGTAGATAACAGATAAACTTGTTATCCCTAAAATCAGACCTATATTCAAGGTAGATCACAGATAAACTTGTTATCTCTAAAATCAGATCTATATTCAAGGTAGATAACAGATAAACCTGTTATCTCTAAAATCAGATCTATATTCAAGGTAGATAACAGATAAACTTGTTATCTCTAATATCAGATCTATATTCAAGGTAGGTAACAGATAAACTTGTTATCACTAAAATCAGATCTATATTCAAGGTAGATAACAGATAAACTTGTTATCTCTAAAATCAGATCTATATTCAAGGTATATAACAGATAAACTTGTTATCTCTAAAATCAGATCTATATTCAAGGTGGGTAACAGATAAACTTGTTATCTCTAAAATCTGATCTATATTCAAGGTAGATAACAGATAAACTTGTTATCTCCAAAATCAAACCTATATTCAAGGTAGGTAACAGATAAACTTGTTATCTCTAAAATCAGATCTATATTAAAGGTATATAACAGATAAACTTGTTATCTCTAATATCAGATCTATATTCAAGGTAGATAACAGATAAACTTGTTATCTCTAAAATCAGATCTATATTCAAGGTAGATAACAGATAAACTTGTTATCTCTAAAATGAGATCTATATTCAAGGTAGGTAACAGATAAACTTGTTATCTCTAAAATCAGATCTATATTCAAGGTAGATAATAGATAAACTTGTTATCTCTACAATCAGATCTATATTCAAGGTAGATAATAGATAAACTTGTTATCTCTAAAATCAGATCTATATTCAAGGTAGATAATAGATAAACTTGTTATCTCTAAAATCAGATCTATATTCAAGGTAAGTAACAGATAAACTTGTTATCTCTAATATCAGATCTATATTCAAGGTAGGTAACAGATAAACTTGTTATCTCTAAAATCAGATCTATATTCAAGGTAGATAACAGATAAACTTGTTATCTCTAAAATCAGATCTATATTCAAGGTAGGTAACAGATAAACTTGTTATCTCTAAAATCAGATCTATATTCAAGGTAGGTAACAGATAAACTTGTTATCTCTAAAATCAGATCTATATTCAAGGTAGGTAACAGATAAACTTGTTATCTCTAAAATCAGATCTATATTCATGGTAGATAACAGATAAACTTGTTATCTCTAAAATCAGATCTATATTCATGGTAGGTAACAGATAAACTTGTTATCTCTAAAATCAGATCTATATTCAAGGTAGATAACAGATAAACTTGTTATCTCTAAAATCAGATCTATATTCAAGGTAGATAACAGATAAACTTGTTATCTCTAAAATCAGATCTATATTCAAGGTAGGTAACAGATAAACTTGTTATCTCTAAAATCAGATCTATATTCAAGGTAGGTAACAGATAAACTTGTTATCTCTAAAATCAAATCTATATTCAAGGTAGGTAACAGATAAACTTGTTATCTCTAAAATCAGATCTATATTCAAGGTAGATAACAGATAAACTTGTTATCTCCAAAATCAAACCTATATTCAAGGTAGGTAACAGATAAACTTGTTATCTCTAAAATCAGATCTATATTCAAGGTAGGTAACAGATAAACTTGTTATCTCTGGATAAATTGCTACGAATGTCTGCATCGAAGCACAGAAAACTTGGAAAACTAACCCTAGGAATATTGAGACTTGATCGAACCGTGAATAACTCGCTCCTACTCCATATTGTACCAGAATTAATAGTTTAATTAAGTTTCCAAGCTGTAACTTATATTGGCACATTTTATTATTTATGATATTGCTTTTGCGTCTTTTCCATTTCTTCGATGAAAGAAAATTTCTTAACAGAATACAATATTACGCAGTCTGTGACCAAAATATTGGCGTTTCTATTCTTTCAAATCCAAACAAGCATTTTCAGTGCCATTGATCAGAATATTAAAGAGATTGTAAATACGGGCTTTCTAAATTTTCTATGTGTATCAGGAACACTGTTAGCATCAATTTACACCATCCCAATTTTCATTCAGAGGCCTGTAGTTCCTGCAATTCCACTAAAACTGGGACATTTATTACGTCCCTAATCGCAAAAGGCATTATGTGATTGCAGGGTGGGTGACTCTAGACAGGGTCGGTGACTCTAGGCTGTGCGTGTGACTCTAGACAGTGTTGGTGACTCTAGGCTGTGTGGGTGATTCTAGACAGGTTTGGTAACTCTTGACAGATTGGGTGACTCTAGGCATGGTGGGTGACTCTAGACAGGGTGACTGACTCTAGGCTGTGCGGGTGACTCTAGACAGGGTTGGTGACTCTAGACTGTGTGGGTGACTCTAGACAGGTTGGGTGACTCAAGGCTGTGTGGGTGACTCTAGACTGGGTTGGTGACTCTAGATTGTGTGGGTGACTCTAGACAGGGTGGTTGGCTTTTGGCAGAGTATGTGACTCTAGATAGGGTGGGTGACTCTAGGCTATGTATGTGACTCTAGACGGTTGGGTGACTCTAGACAAGGTGAGTGACTCTAGACAGGGTTGGTGACTCTAGGCTGTGTGGGTGACTCTAGACAGGGTGGGTGACTCAAGGCTGTGTGGGTGACTCTAGACAGGGTTGGTGGCTTTTGGCAGTGTAGGTGACTCTAGACAGGGTCGCTGACTCTAGACAGGGTTGGTGACGCTAGGCTGTGTGTGTGAGTCTAGACAGGGTCGGTGACTCTACAAAAAGTCGCTGTTTGGCAGAAGTCAACGCTCATGGTGGTCATGACGCTACTGAACTTGTTTACCATTGCTACCAAGTAAAGTTCGCCCGGTATCTTTTGCTCCCGGCTTTCATAACAAAATACATGTATATACTTTATTTGAACATCGATGTGCGGGAGAGCCACTTTAACGATGTGATTCCAGCTTGCCACGTTTCTCTTCTCTTCTATATAAACCCATACAAACTTACCTTCTCTACTCACAACTCTATCAAGAAGACAAAATGACTGTCATATCTAATTTGATGTTGGTAATTGTTTTGCTGTGTGTTGTTTCTTTACAAGTTGCCAGCTCTAAACCTCATTCACGCGTCAGAAAGGCTGTTGATGGAAAAAAAGGTAAAAATTTTCATCGTTTACCCAGAGACTATAGTCTGAGGCGCATCTTTGGGGTGGACAGTTGCATGATCCAATTTCTTTTGAACTTTTCTCTTTAATGGTACCGTCACACCGGAAAGACGTTCTCACTGTGCTGCTACTGTAATGAAAATTGGATTAGAACGTGTAAAGGTCGCAATAAGCGTGGTTTAAATGTGTAAAGGTCGCTATAAGCGTGGTTTAAGTGTGTAAAGGTCGCTATAAGCGTGGTTTGAGCGTGTAAAGGTCGCCATTAACGTGGTTTAAGCGTGTAGGACACATCAGATATTGTGTAATTGTCGCCACTCTTCGCCAAGTCAGGGGTTTATTTTGGACACGTTCAAAACAAACGTGAAGATTCTGCAAACTGTTCATGGAAACGAGAATGTCGTTAGATAAGCGTTGTAGCATCTCATTGAGCGGTATAAAATTATAAAAGCGCAGTACACGCTTAGCCAAGACGCTGCCAAAACGTAACAACGCAATATGGTCGACTGTTTCTAAAATTGTAATTTCTTTAGGGACTTTTACTCAAGTTTTCCTCATGTTTGACCGCGACCTAGTAGATTTCCAGTCGCCGTAAGATTGCAGATTGCATATGTCGCATTCCGATGTAACGAGGCTATAAGCGAGACCACTCCCATGTTCCACATCGTAGTAATAATACTAATTAAGGATACTCGAGGACCATGAGTATATGAGAGACTTTCTGGCACTCTTTCAAAGACGTTTTATGCTAACCTAGAGATTAATGGGATTGTAAAGGGTTTTCTAACCTTTTTATTCTTCCAAATGATATTGTCGTCACCCATGTCAGTCCGTCAGCCCGTCCACAATTGCTCGTAAACACTCTAGAAGGTACAATTCTTGAATGATTATGACGAAACTTGGTGTGAGTGTTTGTAATCAAGGTTGAACCCAATTGAAAATCAGAAGAATCGCAAAATATTTATTATGAGTTATTGCCCTTGATCTTTAGAACCCGTTCAATTTCTAGATCGTAAACGCTTTAGAAGATTGATTTATTGACAGATAAGACGGCACTTGGTGTGAGTGTTCGTAATCACCCAAGGATCAACCCTATTGAAAATCAGAAAAATCGAAAAATATTTAATATGAGTTATTGCCCTTGTTCTTGAAAACGCGTTCAATTTGTAGCTCGTAAACTCTCTAGAAGATTGAGTTATTGACAGATAAGACGGCACTTGGTGTGAGTGTTCGTAATCACCCAAGGATCAACCCTATTGAAAATCAGAAAAATCGAAAAATATTTAATATGAGTTATTGCCCTTGTTCTTGAAAACGCGTTCAATTTGTAGCTCGTAAACTCTCTAGAAGGTTGAATTATTGACAGATTTGGACATCAGAAAAATCAGAAAATGTTTAGTATGAGTTATTGCCCTTGATCTTGAAAACGCGTTTAATTTGTAGCTCGTAAACTCGTAAGAAGGCACAATTCTTGTTAAATTTTGATTAATATTATACAGTATCCCCCTAGAAAGTTCAAAAGAAGTGTATGACTAAAGTTTGGATATTTAATATTGATGATTGTTACTGCTAAATATTTTTATTTAAAATCAGAGCTGCCTGTGGGCGTATATTACTTTGCCTAGCAAGCTATCTAGACATTCAAATTCTTCGTCCGATGCCTGTGATTCCTGCAATTCCCGAAAGAGTTAACCGGAAATGAAACAGCTCCCGCAATAGAATTCGTAACCAACCTAGCACCAGACTACAGTAAAATAATGATATATGTTATCTCCCCTTTCTAACTTAAAGTTGCCAACTCATTCACATTTTATTTCCCCGTCGCCTTATAAAACTCTTTACTACATCTTATATTGTTTAGTTTTAACAGAATGGAAGAGTTGTATATTTGTTTAAATCAGAGAGATAAATATCATAGTTTATGATAAAATGGTCGGTTTCAAATACAGGGAGGCGACTATTTGGTAAATCAAGTTCTTTTAGGGCAGTGGTTATTTACCACCTAAGTGGTAAATAGTTCTCGACGTTTCTTATGCTATTTACCATATAAATTGGCCTGGCAATTTTTGAAATTCTAGAAGGAATAAAGTCGATTGAAATTCAAGAAGGAATAAAGTCGATTGAAATTCTAGAAGGAATAAAGTCGATTGAAAATCTAGCAGGAATAAAGTCGATTGAAATTCTAGAAGGAATAAAGTCGATTGAAATTCTAGAAGGAATAAAGTCGATTGAAGTTTAACAAATATACAACTCTTTCATTCTGTTAAAACTAAACAATATAAGATGTAGTAAAGAGTTTTATAAGGCGACGGGGAAATAAAATGTGGACGAGTCGGTAAATATCGGTTTGAGTTAGAAATGCTACTATCTTGTAAGGGGAGATAATATATATTATTATGTTATTGTGGTCTGTTGTTAGGTTGGTTACGAATTATTTTGCAGGAGATGCGTCATTTCTGGTTAAATCTTTCTGGAATTGCAGGATCCACAGGCATCGAACAAAGAATTGAAATGTCCCAAATAGAAGTCAAGTATGTCCCCGATATATATGAAAAGGCTAGAAAACCTCTTTACAATCTCTTCCACGGGTATTCTCACCTTGACTTGACTTGTTTTGTGAAGATGAGGGTACTATTAAAGATGGGGAACGACAGTAGTAAAAACACACAAGATAAAACATTTACAGTGTAAACTTTGAGTATAACAAATTATATGTATTTATTCCAGATTGTTATGATATCAAAGACAGTTCTTTGACGTATCACCATTTGAATCTAACTGTTGTCCAATCTGAAGATGAATGTAAACAACTGTGTGAGAATAATAATTGTAGCACATATCAGTCCTACAGACATTTAAATACTGAAGATAGAACATTATATTGTGTTCTGTACCAAAAACCACATATCTTTGCGGCATCTGGTATGAACCTGGAGGAGTGTAAAACGAAATGTACGGAGATGGCGGAATGTCAAACACTGGAGTATTTTGGTGAATATTGTCAGTTGTTTGACATTGAGTTCAGTGAGATACCTTCCAGTAAAATTGCTCCATCATTTGGGTCGAAAGTTGGGGAGAAAACTTGCTAGAGCTATAGGAATATTAAGATATGACCAAACCCTTTAACACCTTACCCTACACTCTCTATATTATACCAGTAGTGACAGTTTAATAAGTTTTCAAACTCTTAACTAAAATTGGCATATTTTATTATTTCTGATATTTTCTTTGTTTCTACTGTTTTCTATTTCTTATTGTAGACATACTAGGTGTCGTATTTTCATTCTAAAGTCTTGTATGTAGTTAAAATTGAGCTTGTAATATTAATCTAATAAATTCTTTTAACATGAAAATGTTTATTTATTATAAAATATATAAATTATATTATTAGGGTTATCTTGAAGGGATCAACTTCCCCAACCTGCTTTGTATGGGTTACCAGCTGGACTGTAGTTATAGTTTAAGGAGGTGGTCCCATACAGAACGTATTTTATGTGACCTCTTAAAAGAGCCATGGTACTGTGCTGACCGGTGTAGGTAGTCTCATGACCTCATTGTGAAGGTATTTGACTGTCCTGTTTAAAGAGGCGTTTCTAATATTTAAAATTATCGAGGGTTCGCTACCGAGAAACACCCTCGCAATATCGCTGGAGATGGTGTTTGCGACGTGGACATAAGAATCGCTATGTGGTTACAAACATCTATCTAGATTTGTAAATACCGGTCATTGCAGATCTACTCGTTAGATTAATAATTAATAGAAGATCTGGCCAGGGAATTTCATTCATATAAAGGAATACATCAATGGAATAGAGAGATTTTGGTGAATATTCTTAGGGTTATTACCAACTGTTTCAGTCTAATGAATATCTGACTATTAAAATGGTTAAAAGTTGTTTACTATCGAGTCACGCCCAATTTCACTACTCCCAAACTGTAGGTGATTACCGAAAGTAAAGTAATTAAAGAGCTGGATCCTGAAACATGTATTATTCAACAGAGTTTTTCTGTTATTGTACATACCTCTCCTGGACCAGTGTTAACATTATAAGGAATCTCTTCCAGGTTAATATTCAATAAAAAAATAATTGCCTGTATTATAACTTCCAACTACTTAATATTCGACATTCACTCATCTCGGTACAGTTGTTCTTACATTGCTCAAAATCTGCATCTGTAATCTGGTGTGAAAGGTTTTGTTTTAAAGTAAAAATTAAGACGTCTAAAGGCTTAAAATTCATCTCAGGATATCTGAAATCCATTGGGCATCTAGGGACCTCTGGGAGCCTCTGAATAAAATTAAGAATA